TGTATCATAGATGATCAAGTGTCATCCACCTGCTTCAATGCTTTAATCGAAATCATCATCGTCAATTGCAGAAATTCCGTGGAAAAGTCTGAAGGGAACGCTGACACGTGGTGCAGCATAGGCGTCCTATATCAACAGCAGAATCAACCTATGGACGCATTACAAGCCTACATATGTGCTGTACAGTTAGATAAATCACATTCGGCTGCTTGGACTAATCTAGGCATTTTGTACGAAAGCGTTAGTCAGCCAAAGGACGCTTTAGCTTGTTACGTCAACGCATCCAGGTAAAATGAATTTTAGTGAACCGAACGCGCCGAAATATGTCATTAACAACTATACGTTAACACTTGAGAACATTTATATTTATAAAGGAAATTACGTTTGTGCGTGAAATTCCAGTGCATATAAATTTTTTATTACTGTTGACAATATTAAGTATTTTTTTTTTTTTTGTTATTATTAGAAATTTTTGGTGTTAGTATCATCTTATCATTATTTAGTGTTATTTAGTTTGTAATGTCAGTTCATTGTTTAATATTATTATCTCTTTATTTATAACATTTGTATTATTTAATATTATCATCTCATTCAATATCAAATTTCTGGAAAGAGAAAAATTACCATATACTGTTATTATTATATAATTATATAATTATTATTGTGAGTAATATGAGGGAGGCTTGTTGTATTGGCAGGCCAATAATTAATATCAAAATAAAATTTACGTGAAATGAAATTTCACCCATGAGAGCAAAAGTTAATTATATCATTATTTGTGATATTATCTGGAAATAAAGCTGTTCACGAAGCAGAATTTACAATGTAAATATATTTGAAAAATTTTTACAATCAACATTATACATTTATCCCAAAACTAGATTATTACATTTTGCCGGTATATATTTTTGGTATATATATATCTTAATTATGATATAATTATCAGTCATTTAATATGACTGTACGAAATTTTTTCCATAATTAGATTTTTTTGAAGAGAGAAAATACTTATTGTGTGAGAAAAATTCGTCCAGAATTCTTGTAATTACGTATGCATTGTATGTACCTCTTGTATAGTTTTGCGCTGCATAATGAACTACCTCCTCAATGATGTTTCAAGAAAAATGAGTAAGTCAAGGATAGGTCAGCATTTCAAAAAAAGAGAAAAGAAAAAATTAAAAAGAGAGAAGCGAGAAAGGAGTGAAATGAAGACCTACCATGGAAATGAAAGCATCGTGTAATGACACGACAATTGTTTTCTTCTATAGGGGTAATAATAACACGCCAAATTGTACGGGCTCACTGGCGGGCCTGGGTGGCGCTAAGTCAGGCGGTAACACCCCGATGAACCCATCGCTTCAACAGCGGATCAACTTTCTGCAAAGTCACCTAAGCCAAGCACCAATGCCTTCCGTCGCCACCAAGTAAGTTACTACTATCATATTTTCTACCTTCTAACTAATTTCAATTAGTTACATCTACCGTAGAACCTTGATTAACTCATTGAAGAGCAAGCAACATTGTACATATTTGTTTTATCATATATTAGAATAATAGATATTTTGGAGAAGTCTACCACTGTATTAAAAATAAATAGTAATAGAAATCTTGATGACTTCATAAGAATATAGCCTATCATATTGTAATAAACATTAGTGGAAGTAAAAATCCAATTCTCAAACAAAAATAATTACTTATGAAATAGTCATTAAAATTGTACAATATAGCAATAAAAAAGAATGAAATAAATCTTGAAATTTCGTTTCATCATTTACATCTCAAAAGATGTAGTATTCATACTATATCACTCAGATACAATGTTAGTCTTCAATATGTTAATTTGATTTGGATAATCTTTGTAAGGAAGATTGGTGGAGAATTAAAAAAACAAGACACGTTTAATTTCAAACACAATTTTAGTAACATGGAAACATATTGAAAATTGCTTCCTTAACAAAAAAAGGAAACAAAAAAATGTGTGACTTGTTATGTTCTTGGCTTGAATAAAATGTCATAATTAGTCCAAATAGACCAAGGTTCTGCTGTACTTTAATAATCAATTAACTTTAATGCTATTATTTTCTGATTTTTTTGATATCTTATCTTAGGTATGAAGAAATTGGAGATACTTAGAAGATGATTGAAGTTATTTTAATCCTGACAAGTATAAAGCTCAAGGTTGTTATGTATATATATGTATATATATACATTTTCACATACACGCACAAAACAATTTTTGGATAAAGTAATCATTAACTACAAATACTTTAGTGAGCAAAGTATATGACTCAATGATGTATGGCGCAGTTGGTGTTTAGCAAATATATAGATCTGTATGAAACAAGCAGTGGTGACATTGAGACCTTCAAAAATGCCTCAACTTTCTTTTTTTTCTACCTTATACAGTTTGATTTGGTCTAAAATTTGTTTACTCCAACGAACGAGACGATAATAAGTCCAAGAATTTAGAATCTATAAGATTCTAATCAACTCTGGTCAAAAATTCATTGTTTGCAAAGATAAGAATTTGAAAATTATGAATAGTTCTCATTTTTTTGCAATCCCAACCGACACGGAGAAACTTAGAAACTATTCACGTATGTACGTGTTGCAGATAAAATGCAATTTTGTTTTGCCCACGCGAGTTAATCATTGAGAAATAAAAGGAACGGGAGACGAAAGATTTTTTTTTTTTTAGAAGGTTCGTTCATATCACCGAACGATTATCAAAAAAGGAGCATGTATATTTGAGCGTTAATCTCCTTAACGTGTGATGTTTTTGTTTCCATCAAGGAGGCGGCAACTGCCGTCTATAGAAGAGGCTTGGAACTTACCTATTAGCGCTGAGATGTCCAGCAGGCAGCAACAACAGCAACAACCACCCGCTGGTCCAGGTTATAAGTATGGCACGACACCTTCTGGACCACCACCTCCCTATCCTCAAGGACAGGGACAGGGGCAAAATCTTAATACAAAAAGATTTAAGGTAAATTTTTAAATCAATGCTCTCAGAGACCTTTCATTTAAAAAGCTGTAGTAAATTAGGGCTTGATTTAGAAATAAATCTTAAATTTAGATTTTTTTTAAAGCTTAAGATCTAATAGAATGTTTTGGTCTGTGATACCTAGGTCGATCGAACTTTTAAAAAAGCACCTACGAAGCGTTTATTATTCGCCCGCTCGATCGAGCCTCTATAAAAAAAAAACGCCACTAACAATCGATGTCACGACTTTAGCGTTTTTGTTCGAACGACACCTAAGAAATGAGCGCCCATTACATCACGCGAACCGCGAATAGACAAAGCATTTCAACGTCACGGTCAGCGAACTCTGCCGAATTTGAATAACCAACGTCTTTCGTGTTGACAATAAAAGGACGGCTATCATCCATTTGCCAAACAATTCGTACGTGTTACTTCACCAGTCCTTTGCGAGTTCTTTGTACATATTTTTTAAATTAGTTTTAAATTAGTTACATTGTGTCGCGTAAGTAGCTCGTCGTTTTATAAGTAAAATCCTTCCGTAAGCGTATTTTCTTTTGTAAAGATTCTAAATTATTCTTGTCCCTTTGGATGAATCAGGGAAAATTGAATTATAATAGAATTAAAGTAAAACAAATGTGTAAAATATGTAAAACATTCATGATTCGTTTCTTGTATTTACTTCATCTTTATGAAAGTATAAAAGTACTAGATATTTTAATTCTTATTTTGAGTGATGAAATGAATTGTATTTTCAGCCAGGAGAAGAACCAATCTCTCCAGGCGGTCAGCAAAGACCGGCACCGTTTTATCTTACATCTCAACAACTGCAAATGCTACAGTTTCTTCAACAAAATCATGGAAGTTTGACAGCGCAGCAGCAAGGTCTACTTGTTCAATTACAACAACAATACAGGTGTATGCAACAACACCAACAACAGATTAGATTACAACAACAGCAAGCTGCTCAGAGAGGACTGCGACCGGGACAACCGGGTTATCCTACAGGCTACAATCATACACAATTAGGACAACCTGGTGTGATCAAAAATTATGGAATACCTCAGCAACCGGTACTATACTTTCCCTTTTATATATATATAGAAGATTTATTCTTGTCAAATTCTATTCAAAAAAATGTGAATCTGTATAAATATTCACAGTTTAATCATGATGACAAATGACAAATTTCAAGTGGTTACATTATATATTCTAAATAACTATCCTTTGTTACAGCTGCAGCAAGGTGGAACTGTCGCATTGCAAACAGGATTCTCAGATTCGAATGTCGGTTACAACACAGTAGCGACTGGTAACAGCCAGACGCCGGGTATGCCTTATAAGTCTGCCTCTGATCCAAATTATCCTCAGAGACAATTGACATCCAGCCAATACAACCAATACCAGCCTACTAATCAGTACACTGCCCAAGGTTATACTCAAATATCGTCCACGACGAGCAATTACCCAGAAGGTTCCGCGGGAAATAAAGACTTGGGTGTAACGGATCAAGAACTACAAGCTCTGTTGTCCCAGAAAGATATCGCAACGTCATTAGCGGAGGATCTCTTAAAGCATTTCGGCTCGGAAGATTTAGACGTGAAGGAAGAGGCACCGAGTATTATGAATAATGGCACTTTAAGCTCGGGCCCGTTTTCTCCGTCGAATCTTGAAGAGAGTACAGAAAAAAGCAAAGAGGTGAAACTAGAGAAGGTGGACGACACCCAGCCGTCGTCCACGTCGAAACTCGAGACATACGAAAAGAGCAATACGAAGGCACCAGCTCCGGCTGTCGAGACGGTGAAGTGCGAGGCGACGTCAAGTACAAATAAAATTGAATCGGTCGCGCGGATCGAACCAGTTCTCAAGTTAGAAAGTTTGTGCGAATCGCAACCGGAACAGGAGCTTAGCATAGATATGGATTCGAAGGCCATTATAGAGGCGTGCAAAGGTCAGGGATTGAACGGTGTACCGAACTGCTCTATATTAAGTGATCGTTCACCTCCACCGGCGCCGCCTGATCCTCCAAGTCAGAGGCTAACTAAGGAGCAACTTCTACCTCCGACACCTAGTGTTTATTTAGAGAATAAGAAGGATGCATTCAGTCCACAACTTCAAGAGTTCTGTCTAAAACACCCGATAGCTGTGATTCGTGGCTTGGCAGCCGCTTTGAAGCTGGATCTCGGCCTCTTTTCGACTAAGACTTTAGTGGAGGCGAATCCAGATCACGGTATCGAAGTGAGAACGCAGATGCAGCAAACCAGCGATGAGAATTGGGATCCTGTGTTGGGGAGAAAGGTTTGGGGTTGTATCAGCCATAGAAGTCACACGACAATCGCGAAATACGCGCAATACCAGGCCTCGAGTTTTCAAGAAAGTTTGAAGGAGGAAAGGGAGAAGGCTCAAGGTATACATACCTCGAATCTGTCCGACTCGGACTCGAAAGATAGTACTGGTGCTGTCAGGAGGAAGAAAAATGCTTTTGGATTGGCGGGTCGACCAGGTTCGAAAATGTTACGATTTGGGACCAATGTAGATTTATCAGACGAGAGAAAGTGGAAACCGCAGCTCCAAGAACTAATGAAATTACCGGCGTTCGCTAGAGTCGTCTCAGCTGGAAATATGCTCAGTCATGTAGGACACGTTATTTTAGGCATGAATACTGTTCAATTGTACATGAAGGTATGCCTAATTGCTTAATTCTATTTCTAACAATAATAACCATTTAAATAACTATTATCCTTCAGTATTTTTATAACTTACAAGAGTAGATATAAAGAAATTCGAGAAGAATAATATTGGAACACTTTCTAAAACAGCATTTTCATTTTCTTGCGCAGGTGCCTGGTAGTAGAACACCTGGTCATCAGGAAAACAATAATTTTTGTTCTATTAACATCAATATTGGGCCAGGAGATTGCGAGTGGTTTGCAGTGCCTGATGCATATTGGGGTGTGATTTGCTCCCTTTGTGAACGAAACAATATCAATTATCTTCATGGTAGTTGGTGGCCTTCTTTAGAAGACCTTTATGAGGAGAACATTCCGGTATATAGGTTTTTGCAAAGACCAGGCGATCTTGTATGGGTTAATGCGGGTAAGTAAACCCCCAAATAATTATAAATTATGTAACACTAATTAAATAGATTGTGTAATAATCTACAATTTGAAAGAAACCTAAATAAAAAATGAATTATTGTTATTATTTTATTAACATCAAATCATGTTCAAAGTTTTCATATGTCAACGCCATGTTATCTCTCTAGGTTGTGTGCACTGGGTTCAAGCTGTTGGATGGTGTAACAACATCGCATGGAACGTTGGTCCTTTGACTGCTCGGCAATATCAACTGGCAATTGAACGATATGAATGGAATAAACTGCAATCATTTAAATCTATCGTACCAATGGTACATTTATCTTGGAATTTAGCAAGAAATATCAAAGTGTCGGATCCCAGATTGTTCGAATTAATTAAAAATTGCTTATTAAGGACAATGAGACATTGTTGCTTAATATTAGAGTTTGTGAAAAGTAAAGGTGTAGAAGTTCGGTTTCATGGACGAGGAAAAAACGAAGCATCGCATTACTGCGGCCAATGCGAGGTAAGATAATTTTAAATAAAATTAGCTCATAATTTTCTGTTCTGCTAGAAATATTATCCTGTATATGTTGAAATTAATCGATTTTGTAAAATTTGGGTGCGATATATTTTCTTTAAAATAAAAGTAAACGTAATGCAATTCAATACCAGTTTAAATCCCAAAGCCAGTTTAAATATTGTATAACTTTAGTATATCTAATAATTGTGAATTTTGTTCTTTCAGATTGAGGTGTTTAACATCTTGTTTATAAGAGAACAAGAAAAACGACATGTTGTTCACTGCATGGATTGTGCACGAAAACAGTCCCCATCTCTGGAAGGTTTCGTTTGTTTAGAAGAGTACAGAATGCGCGATTTAATGGACGTTTATGACGGATTTACTTTACATTCTTCTCTGACAACTCCCTCATCAGCTCAGTGTAGCCAATCCTCCTGAGAATACATGCAACACAGATATCTGGATTTCTTAGGCACTTTACAGTGACTTAAGAAGTACAATATCTGTGTTTAAGAAGAACTATTACAATAAGCATTATTCAAGTACCTAAGAGCTGTCATAAAAAAAGAAAAATGTAAAAGTTCAAAAATTTCTATATGTTCACAAAAGTCAAACATCCCAATGTTCCCATGTTAATTTTGATGTACGCACAATATATGTAAATTTGGAAATTTAAAATTTATTAACGGAAATAATTAAAAATTATTTAGTATTATTTATATAACGCTACAAACTGAAAAGTGTAATATTCGAAGGATTTTATATTAAATTGATGTAAAAATATTGTTTCAGCTCTCGGGTATAGAAAATCGAAATTAAGTAAACGAAAAAAGACTGCGTTTTACTTATAAATTACTCGATCATCATTTGTAATCCTTTGATGACGTCGCCGTGATATTGTTGCAAAACTTTTGTAATAAGACATGTTCCGAACATAGTTATTATAAACTCAACCGCGTTTCTTATTGACTTTATATCGCGGCAAGTGTCTGCAAAGCATTTAATATTTATTTTCATTAGGAACGACAGAAATTTATTATATTTTGTTCATAAATTTCACGCATTTTAAAAATTTTTTACGAATAACAAATCGATAAAAGAAAAAAAAAAAACAAAAAGAAATTTCATTCACTCGAAAATGTTCACTGCCAATCGTGAATATACATATGTATATATAAAAAAATATATATATATATATATTAAAGGATTACACTTGTCCAAAGTGATGAGGGATAAGCTGTCGTTAATATTGTTATGAATTAAGATACGATTGTTAAGTATTGCAAAGCTGCTCAAGATGAACTTGTATATTTTTATATACAAGCGAATTGAAATGATTATTGATTTTTATGAAATTCACGGAAATTATTGTAGCACAATTTTGAATGTCCTACTGCCAATAACAATTCAATTCTTAATGTTGTAGCAATGATTATGTTTTCATATCAGTCTCGGAGACAATGGAATCAGTACCGGATTGAAATTTATTAAGAAAACAATTGCCGAATTTTTTTTTATAAATTCAAATGATGTAGCCAGAAAAATACAAACAGCAGAGTGGCATTCGCGACGAGAGTATCGTGCTTAAAATAAATTAATTATTGTGTCATAGCGGCTCTAAAATATTTGTACAGTAAAAAAAATACATTTTGTAATAATGATTTCTAAGATATACCGACCTCCGTGTTTAAAACAAGAAAGATAATAATGGCGTTTCTCAATTTCACAGATAAAACAAAAACGGAAACATCAGTGATTATAGATCGGGATTATATGCTGGAATTTAAATTTAATCTATCAATCATGTCATAAAGCAGTATCGTAATTGTAAATGAATTTATTTACATTGACTTTTAATTATACAAAATGTTCATTGGTTTATGCAATTCATTTCAACAAATGAATGAAAACTGTATAGGCTAGTGATTTATTTAGAGTATTATTTAAAGTAATATAATTTTAACGAATCTAAAGGATGATGTGTGAAAACAGATCAACGTTAAGAGAACAGTTGAGAAACGCTGGTATAGAGTGTGTCTAACAGCAGATGATTGTATCTTCGTACAGGAGAAACGTACCTTCAACTCAGTCTCGTCAATTCACATTGGTGTATAGCTACGCCAAATGTACGTGCCAGAAAACAAAAAAAAAAAAAAAAACAAAAAAAAAAGAAGGAAAAAAAATTCTTCACTACTACAAGTGTATAAATAATGCAATTCTCGTTCCGCCGAAAAAATGTATTTTCACAAACGCGTGAGAGAGAGGGAGAGAAAGATAGAGAAAATGAAAAAGAAAGAGCAAAAAAAAAA